GGGGAGCACCCCTGTTGGGTGAGGGTGTGTCTGAGGGGGCAGCCTTAGAGGGAAGGTTCTGGGGAGGGGTTGTCTTGGGAGGGTTAATCCCTCCCTGGTGCGGAGAATTTGCAGGGGCTGGTCTTCCAGGGGAACTGGGCGAGACCCTGAGGTCTGTTAATTCAGGCAGAAAACATAAAAAATGCATTTTTAAGGGGCTGCAGGGGTACCTGCATCCTAGACATGAAGACTTGTAAATCATGAGAGGATTTCTGGATCTTAAAGGTGCCGTGAGTGAGGACCAGAGGAATTTTGTGGTGTAGGAACGGGCTCTTAGGGCTGGTGATGGGCTGGGACCCTCTCCCTAGGGGCAGCGACGCAGGCCTGCGTTTCAGCCGTAGCGGGAGGCAGCAGCTTGGTTTGAGCGAGGTGGATCTCAAGTTCTTTTTATTTCTGCGACGAGCTTCGCCCATAAACGCCGTGCGGAGCCGTAAGGCTGTGCCAGGAAGCTGCCGTGAGGCTCATGCCAGCCGGAGCCTGAAAATTAGTGTTTTGTGGTTGAGAGATATCGAAATTCATCCAGTTTTTGGCAGCACTGGCTATTTGGGGAGAGGGTGGAGGTGGGCTATTTGGGGGGAGGCTGCAGTACTGCCGGCCTCACCACGGGACGGGGAGTGATGGCTGAGCACGGAAGGCAAGATTACGGTGACGATTTGCATTTCAAGGCTATTAAGTCGCTTTTTTTGAGCGATATTTTTTCTGATATTGGCTGCTGTCAAACTGCCCAGGCAGCAGCAGGCAGTCGGCTGGTCGTTTCCTTCCCCTACGGCAGAGTTACGTGGGTTTTTCTTTCCGTGATGGAAAGCAACTGTTGCTGGATGATTCTTTGGGCCTCTGCGCCGAATGTCTGTGATATATAAAAAGGGGGAAGCGGGCGGCTTTTTTTGTGACGCTGTCAGAAACGCTTTGGTTTGCAGCAGGATCTCTTCACCCCGACAGCGGGGGAAAGGGGGAAGGACCGGCATCGCCCCGGTTAAATGTGCCGCGTGGCAAGAGGTGTTGCGGGAGACGTTTCTGGGAAGGGAACGCTGTCAAAGGCCTCACTGGAAATGTTTCCTCTCTCATCAGTGGGAGTCGATCTTCGAAAACATTCAAACCCAAGAAGAACATTCCCGAAGGCTCCCATCAGTACGAACTCCTGAAACATGCCGAAGCGACTCTGGGCAGCGGTAACCTAAGACAAGCGGTGATGCTGCCGGAGGGAGAGGACCTCAACGAGTGGATCGCGGTGAACAGTAAGTCCTGTGAAAGAGAGATCCGCCCGAGCGTACAAGACCAAAAAATCTCTGAGTTTCATCCTTACAAGAACCTAAAAATTCCCAAAATGAAATTTTTATCCTAGTAACTGGGATAAATCTCAAGTGAGCGGTGTGACGTGCTGCCCGCAAACGGGGCGATGAGCTCCGGAAGCGTGCAAAAAGCGAGAAAGAAACCCGCGCAGGTGTGGTTTCGGGGTGGGTTTTCTTGAGTTCAGGCTCACAAAAAAAAAGCAGTCGGGTTATTCTTGTCCTCAGGAGTTAGCTCTGAGTAGCGATGTCTGGAATTACCAGCTGCAAAATTGGTGACGGCCAGTAACCCGGGGAAAAACCCACTGAACTCCAGGTTTGAACTCCCCTTCGCCAGTCTTGAACTTCTGGGTTGTTTGGAGGAGGAAAAAGTAGTTTTGAGCAGTGGAAGGCAGCGAGTCAGGCCACAGGTGTTCAACCTGAGGAAGGTCTCTGCTGTATTATCGAAATCAATGTGGTTTTTGAGGCATTGTCACTTTTTAAAGGTGCCTGGAACCTAAAGCAGTCGCTTCCAAGCCGTGGGGGGGCTAAAGTGGAGCTTCGTGCTGTACAATCAGTTCAGGGCAGCAGCCAGAGGGTGAAAAACTGACAGAGCGACTCAGATATCGAGGCGGTCGACAAGTCGGTTGTGCTGTGGGTTTGGTGGCACGTTCCCGTCAGCTGTCCAAGAGAAAAAAAACCAAAGCTCTGGTCCGCTCTGCGTTTCCTCTTCGACTAAATTCGATGCGTTTCCTTTCCAGCGGTGGATTTCTTCAACCAAATCAACATGCTGTACGGGACCATCACGGAGTTCTGCACGGAGGCCAGCTGTCCCGTCATGTCCGCGGGACCGCGGTGAGGACGTTTGCCGGCCTCTACACATGCGATTTCACCGGGGGGGAAGCGGGCGGGCGCGCGGGCTGCTCAGGCATGCGTA